CTCTTTTTCCTTCACCATGGTTTTGTCCCACTGGGTTTTCCTGGTAAGGTTTTAATGAGGCAACATTCCCCAGCGCATTATAGAGATCCCGGTTTAGTATCGGGCACGGTTATGTCTTCCAAGGGGAGTGTTATAAACCATATGGATGGACTCCATAACCGGCCCACAGCCCATTAGGGTTTTACCTTATTCTCTGTATCCTACTATTATCCTTGTATATATATCCCCTATTCTATTAATGAAAGACACAGTTTACAACATAGAATTCATTTTTCTTCTTGATGTGACATTTATTTTCTTCTATTTTTTCTTTTCATTTCTTCTAACTTTTTAACCAGTCACAGCCTCTATGTTCTTGTATTTTTAGAAAAACTAAGTTAATTTAATTTTAATTATTTAGTCGAACGCACTATATATCAAAAACATGAAGAAAAGGACTCACAAATGAATCAGTACTATTTTTAAGTCTAGTAATACAAATCAAACAACCAACCTAAATGCTTGATGCATCAAAACTCAAAGAGAAGAAAAATAAATAAAAAAATCTCTCGAAAATACAACTTTGAAGGAACCATTCTCATGGTGATCAAGTAAAAATAGTCAATATAGAAGATTTGACAAAGCAATGTGACGTTCCAAACTAATTTTTTCATCACCACGTCAAGGTGCTTCCAATTTTGCGTGAATATCAAACAAAGTTACAACTATGAGATTTGGCTCCCTTTAGAATGGGCATATTTTTCTGTAACATTTTCATCATACTTGAACATTTCTTCCCTAAACACTTCCAAGAACATTTGAGAGATATACGATCTTCATTTCGTTTACCGATATCGAATTGTTTGTCTTAGATGTATGCGAAAATCTATGAGCATTTGAGAGTATTAGGCTCTTAAATATCAATATGCATTTACTCTTAAGTAATATTGATAAATACAGAATATTTTTGTTTATGAAACAATTTTTTTCTTTCTATAAGATCAATACTACGAAAAGAGGATATATAATTGATGTCGACAGTATTGAGGATATATAATTGATGTCGACAATTTTCTACAACTTTTCAAATAACGGATCATTGTTGATTTGGGTAACGACAAACTAAGTGCAAACGAAAAATTGTATAAAGACAGTGGAGGACCTTACAATAATACACTATATTATAATAAAGTATTGTTAACATAGACTATATCAAACGAAGTTTCAAAATCATCTTAAACCAACGAAGAAACAAGGGACCATTACGCAATTGATATAAAAAAGAGCATATGGATATCTTTTGATAGAATATAATAAGTTATGTGGAGGGACTTGCAGTGTACATCATCCAACATGAATGAATGAATACTAATGAGATTGGACAAAATAAGAAAATTTCTTTATAATAATTTAGCCAAGTACAAAAGCAGTGTTTCCATTAATGGTGAGAATCTCTTGTCGGCAAGAATAGTGTACGAGGTTTTGATATCTCTATGGGTTAACGTGGTCGTTTCCTGACCGTTCATTTCTTTTTGTTTTCTTACAACCTTTGTTTTTTTGGTAATGAACTTTTGTTTTGCAGCAACCAAAAAAAAGACAGTCTGTCCTTTTTTGTTCTAAGAAAAACAACCTTTTGAGACACATACTTGAGTCTTCTTCACCAAAGATTAATGATGTATATGAATAATTTAAACTCGAGAATTAAGACTTATATAAAACGTAAAACTAATTAGATAAAACTTAAATTTATTTTGAGTATAGAAATAAATTATGAGTTAGATTGAACATGTAGAACCATAAACCAAGCTATGTATCAGATACTTTTCTATCGATAGTGCAACTCAGTTTTAAAATAATTTGGTTTTATTTAGTTAAATGTTTATTTTCTCTTGTTAAATATTGGATTATCTGGTTAAACAAAATGGTGTAATTTTTTTTATAAAGAAATATATGGATCAATATATCTCTTATATATATTACTTTAGCTTTGAAAATTTTAATTAAAAATTAGAATAATAGCTGGAAGAAAATCATGTGATTCACGATCATCATATAGCTAGCAGATATTTCTCGTATGATAAAAGGTTAGGAGCGTACGTAATGTTATTGCTTTTGTTAATTTTTGGAAATATAAAATCAAGATCAAACGTGTTTCTATCTAATCGACACAATTTCAACGAACGATGTTTATCAAATACATCTCAATCTTTTACGCTTCAAAATTATGTAAAAGATTCAATATTCCATCCCAAATATTGATAATATATATGAGCCAAAAACTAAATACATTAATCGTTACTCTTTCAGAATTATCAATTTGTATCTCTTTTCATCCTCTTGTTACATGAATTATACATAACATGCCAAGCGACCATCATGACTTAATAATAATAATAATAATAATCATAAAGAACATGACAACAACTAAACATAATTCGTTTGAATAATTTCTTAAATCAGTCTGAAAAACGACAAAAAATACCACTGTGAAAAATAAAATAATAATAAGGGAGACTCACAAAAATGCCCCTTTTTTAATACCCCTTTTCAAAAATGCCCCCTTTGGCTGTCCATTTTTAAAAATACCCCTTTTAATGTACAAAATGACTAAATTACCCTTCTTTTAATAAAAGATATCACAAATATATAAGGAAATATAACAAAATTAGGTCCACAAAATACAAAATATTTTTTGGCGGGAAAAGTGATCCCGCAATTTTTCCCGCCAAAACACTCGTAAAAACTTGTAAAACCTTTAAAATACCTTGTAAAATTTTCCCGCCAAAAAATTTTCCCGCCAAAAATTTTTTTTTGCGGGAAAAGTGATTCCGCAATTTTTTTGGCGTTAAATTTTTGGCGGGAAAATTTTTCCCGCCAAAAATTTACAAGGTATTTTAAAGGTTTTTTACAAGGTATTTATAAGGTTTTACAATGTATTTTAAAAGGTTTTACAATGTATTTACAAGGTATTTATAAGATATTATAAGATTTTACAAGCTATTTTATAAGGTTTTTACAAGTTATAAGGTTTTACAAGTTTTTTATAAGGTTTTACAAGTTATAAATACCTTATAAAACCTTATAAGTACCTTGTAAAACCTTTTAAAATACATTGTAAAACCTTACAAAACACTTGTAAATACTCTGTAAAACCTTTAAAATACCTTGTAAATTTTTCCCGCCAAAAATTTTCCCGCCAAAAAAATTTCGCAAAAAAAATTGCGGAATCACTTTTTCCGCAAAAAAATTTTTTTGGCGGGAAAAATTTTTACGGGAAAATTTAACAAGGTTTTTTAAAGGTTTTTACAAGTGTTTTGGCGGGAAAATTGCGGGATCACTTTTCCCGCCAAAAAATATTTTGTATTTTGTGGACCTAATTTTGTTTCAAATAAGGGTAAAATGGTCATTAAAAATTAAAAGAGGGCAAACTTAAAAATGGACTCTCAAAGGGGGCATTTTTGAAAAGGGGTATTGAAAAAGGGGCATTTTTAACAATTTCTCTAATAATAATTCGTTTGAATCATTTTAACTCGCTCTGAAATCACTCAAGTAATCAAAATATAAGTTTGCTTATCTTCAAAACAATTCCCAAAGTGGGTCTGAAGGCACCTGCATACATAAATAAATTACAGAAACGAGGATAATATCTCTCTTTATATTGAAATTTATTCATTGTTTTGGACATCACATATATTAACATCTTGAAAGATAAAAATATTAGATATGGAATAAGAAATTGTATGTTATGTAAAATGATTATGTAAAGAGAGAGTCTAAATGTACTAAAACATTTTAAAGAAAAGGATATGATTATTGGTTCACACCAAAATGTTAACGTGATCACAAGCATTATTATCAAATCAACTCATTGCCTCCAACAACATTTATGCGTGAATCTATTGTATACATCTGCATAGATATATGTTTCTAATATTATATTTAAGAGACGAATTAAATAAGATAATTGGTTCATCGAATCCAAATGCAGTGGATGCCATCAATTAAAAAACGTATCCAATTTAGTATATTTAGTACCCATGAAGTTTTCTAGTGGCTTCTTAAACTAAAATAACGATAAAAGATAGATTAATATAATAATCATGGGGCATGGAGTATGATGTCATCCTTGAATTAATTATGATTAGCCGGTTTAAGTAAAATATCATACTCTTCAGAACCAGATTTTTCTTTATCACTAGGGGAATTTTTTTTTTGTTATTAATTAGATTTAAGAAGAGATGAACCCGACAACTGTCTATAAGAAATGTATGATGTTGACATGAGGTTTTTCCAATATATATAAAAGAATTAAACAAATAAATTTATTTGACTTTCTTTATTGATTACACCAAATTTTGCTTAAATGAAAAATGTTTTACTATCATTAATCAAGCTACCTTAATGTTGATACTTTACGAGTTGACGTGTAGAGAAGACTTGGCATTTAAAGCTCTTGCCTACTGATGATGCCACTATCTGAAAGATCCAATCCGAATTTGAGGGTTAATTAAAGGAAATAGTTAAAATTTTGTAAGGCTAATTTCTAACCTTGTAAGTCGTATTCTTACATTTGAGTTGATAGGCACTTAATGAGTTAGCTTAGTTTCACACCATGACATCAACATATCTATGTTAGCACATATTTCAAAAAGTAATGTATTTTCAAAATTTTTACAAATTTCTTAAAACTTTGACAAGTCAAATTTTTTGAAGTTAACTTGACAAGTATTTTGCTTTTTTTCTTTTGCCTTTATTATATTTAAACCCCAAATCGTGAAATCCAATTCCTAAACTCAACAACTTAAATCATAATCACCTTAATTTTGTAAGGAAATACGTTACATGTTAAATTAAAAATTAGTGTTATGGACCAGATTAAATTTAAAATTGGGGTTGCTACTTTCACCGATTCCTATACATGAAGTGACTAGATGACACATTTGATGATTCATTTTTTCAGAAGATGATTCCCATAGAATTGAGTCGAGCAGTGGAATATTAAAAAGGAAACGAAGATAATATTTTTTTTTTGTCACTTGAAATTTTATTGATAAATTTGTTGTGGAACCGAAGTAGAATACAACGTCCAAAAGAGGGAAGCAAAGCCGGCGGACAACGGTAAGTCCCCGGAGACAAAGCCGGAGGAAAACGAGAATTCCCCGGAAACTAGACCCTATGTAAGGGAAACTAAAGACACTATGACACAAAGAGCATAAAAACTAAAGCCAAAACGAAAGTTGACAAACCCTTAAACTAAACACAGAAGCAACAAGGCAATAACCAACCAAAAGACACTAGACTTAAGAGGCAAAAAGAAGATAATATAAGATAAACCATCACGTCCTCTTTATCAAGTCTTTTCTTGTCACTAAATAAAGAAAATATAATTTTTGACTTGACAAGAGACCAAGAAAGATAAACATTTTCTTCATATGAGAGAACACACAAATCAAACAAAACATTTACCAAAAAAGCAAAGAAGTTATATAGAGTGCATAGATCTAACTTACCAAACATATAATGAATATACCAATTGTGAGACTTAATCGCTAATCATCTGTTTCATCGGTAACATTGAAGCCTATATATCAATGTCTAACTATTAGTCTTTCCTACTTATGACTTACTATTGTGCTTATATGCAGAATTTGGAAGTTGATGTTGGTGTCTCTTGTTGATTATCGTAACAGGCCGCCTTTGCTTCACTACGAGCAGTCCGCGTGAAAATTAATCATGTCGCTGTGCCCTGCATTCTCCGCATCATTAGTGTTACTCAAAATATTATCAACAAAATGCAACAGCGGGCTTATGACTTGTTTAAGCAGATTCTCTTTATCAGCTCAAGTTGGATTCATGCTAAAATGTGATCATTAATAAAGTTTGTAGGACATGGAGCGACATAATCAGGATCAGTTATACCTCGAGCATGAATGGTATTGATTCCGGGGCCTTTCAGTTCAGTCCCGTTGTCGCTCAACAATGAAATCCCAGCTGATGTTATATGGAACGGGAAGGCTAAAGGAGGCGACATAGGAGATTTTGCCACCTTAATGATTCTCTGACCTGCAGAAAGCGTAAAGCCAATCATATGAACGAACATTCTTGGTAGTTACTGAGACCTTGCATGAAATTGGTTAAATCTTGCCTGACTTGGCTTCAAGAACCAGCCGGATCGTTACAGCATGAGCCCAGTTAATCCCCAACGCAGCAACAAGGTGTGAATCATAAGTCTTTGTGTGTTCTTGAAATCCATCTTTTAGTCTAGCTGTTGCCAAGGAAATATATGACTGTGGAGAATGGGAATTAACAAGGATCACAAAACAACAAAAAAGATACTTCAGTTTCTGTTTATTGTACCTTGGAAAGAATACTGACTAGTTTCATCGCGGTTTTGAGATCTAACTTGATTAGTCACCACTATAGGAATCCGTGAAAATTCAGCAAGCGATCTGAAAATGTCAGAGAACCAATGTCAATCATTCTACAGATGAAGAGCTGATGTGAAGAAAAGTTACAAGCTTTGAGCTGACATGAGACTAACGTTCATACTTTAAGAAAGAAATATGCCAACCCAACTGAGGCTGTCTCTGAGCTCCTTGTTTGTTTTCGCTGAAAATCAATCAAAATAACAAAAACTTAAACCAAATACCTTGTTACTAGGGTCACCAAGGGAGCAAGAATGACTTGAAAATGATCAGCAGGAAATAGAAATTAGACTAACCCTGAAAGAAGAGCTGTCATACTATCAATCACTAGAAGCTTTACTTGGTTTTGAAGAATTGAATCCTTGAGTTCTTGTATACTGCCAATTAGAAAGAAGATGAAAATTGAACTACCACAGCATGATAATAGTTCTTAGCTGTACTCTCAAAATTTCTCTACTCATATAGACCGAATTTGATAAGTAATTCAATTGCCAGTAACCGAAGTTGAGAGCAAGCTCTTATTAGCTACCAAGTAAAACTGACTATGTCATATTCATCCAATATGTCCTACAAGCCTACAATAACAAAACAATGAGTGAAATCTTACGGACCTTTCAGTAAAGTTAGCTAAAGATGTCGGCCGCAAAACAAGGATTCTTCCAGCCATCTGCACTCCGAATAGTCATGTAAGCAATCTGGAATATGACAAGACTTTACCAAAAGGCATGAATAAAACACAGATAAACCAGATAGCTGTACCAAACAACCTCTTGTGCCATTCCTTTAAGGTGAAACACTTCAGGGAAGCTTTTCAGTCCCATCTCTATCACCCTGAAAGATACATTCTCTGAGTATTTGTGCACAAAATAAAACCATGCTGGGAAAACAAAATAAATCAGTTTACCTTCTTGAACTAAACTTGGATTCCACATCTATGTATATCACACGACCATCTAATCCTCCATACGCTACTGGAAACGAGGCCGATAAGGCAAGTTTCATGCAAAACTGCATAGTAGAGAAAACCTTTTACTGTATGCAAACACACTGAAGCAAAGAGGATAGAAGAAACATAGCTAGATAGATACATATACATGAGCATTTCTCATCAAACAGAAACAAAGTTAACAACTTTCGACTTAACTATACAACAATGCGATATTACGAAATCTTCAATCTTGGAAGAAACTAACCTGTGATTTACCAATACCAGGTGGACCAACTAACTCAGTAAGAACACCAAACGGTATACCACCGCACAAAGTTTCATCTAACCCCTTCAAATGTGTAGGAAGATGACCTAATAAGTGCTCGTTTTCGACCTTTTTCTCCAACAAAGATCGAGCCTTCTCCAACATTAGATTAAAGATCACACAAACCATATCCATCATTTGTAACAACAAAAGAGAGCTTACTGATTGACATGGCGGAGAAGTAGCTTCACTAATCAATGCAATTGCTAATCTAATCTCTTTCATTCCAACATCTAAAAGCTCCATTAGTTCAAACTCTGTCATTGATAATGCATCCTGAATCACCACAACCTAAGTAAGAATCTCTCATCGGAAAAATAGAAAAAAAGGATGGGTTGATTGAGAAAACCTTGGCGGTGATGATGTTTCTTGCGGCGAAGATGTTTGAGATTTTGGTGTGAAGACCCATTTCTCCGATGAGTTTGTTTGACATTTTTGGTTTTACGTCTCCGGCGTCGGAAAGATTCTTTAGACGGTGGAGAGAGATTTAGAGAAGCTTTCTCTCTCCCTCTCCCGCCATTTTGAGAGTCCTTACTAAATTAATTTGGGCCTGAAAGAGATACTAGGCCTGATCCGTTTTGTATTATCCATGACCAGATTTATGATTAGTTTTGGGCCTTTTGGGTTTTGGCTATTAAAATAAAAAAAAATACCAAATTCATCGATTTTCTTTTGTTTCTAGACATGATGAGGTTAACCGTTAACGGGTAATTAATTATTTATGCATATATATATATATATATATATATATATATGCTAAAACACTATCTACTATACATTTTTGCAGCAGTTTTTGGGGTACCCAAATCGGGTCAAATTTATTTAATTTTGACCCGGAAATCTTCAATCGGATCTTTCCTTAAATTTTGGCAAAATTAAAAAACGAAAATAATTAATAAAATCTAAAATATATATACTTTCTCAACTAATTACTATATTTAAACGCTTTATTTATGGTATATTCTCCACGATTTTTATAGATAAAGAAATCAAATATGATGATTTAATGCTAATATAACAAATTTACACTAATTTCCTAAAACTTCTCTACCTAATTTAAACATAAATATATGATTCTTATTTCACTTTTATTTGATCTTATATTTATATTATTTTAAATTATTATAAAATATATAAATAGTTAGTAAATTTTAGTTTTTTTTTTTCTGCATATGTTACAATTCAAATTTTTTAAAACGGACATATATTACTCAATCGATGAATAAAAATATGTGTGTAATCTATATTAACATTTTTAAGAACAAATTGAGCATTTAATCATGTCGTTATTTTATTCAGACCCGAAATTGAGTCATTCGGATCTTTCTTTAATTTTTACAATTATCTAAAATGGGACAGTATATCTACAATTATCTAAAATGGGACAGTATATCACAGGTGAAATCCTAATTAGTATTTTAAGATACAATTATAAATTATTTTCACGGGTTGGTCCAAAAACACACACTAGATTTAACAATATACATGGAAACTATTTGAAAGCAACTTTCAAATTAACTCGAATTATATGAC